CGGCAACGGCAAAAACATCCTCCCCCACCGCAACAAGGCTGGGGACGCGGAGGGAAGTGACCGATTGAGCAGCGACCCCAACGCCTTCCCATGCAGCACCAGAAATATCCGTCGTCCCTGCAAACGGATCCATGACGTCCTCCTGATTAGCGGCTGCAGCGCCACTGTTGCCGCAGCATATCAACAAGCAAAGAGAGAGCAGCAGCACCGCGGCAGAATACAAATGCCGCGGCATGTTGGGCCGCTGCCGCTCACTCTCACTCTCTCTCCCCCTCTTCTTGCGGTGGATCCGCTCAGGCCGCGGCGGTTGTGTGTGTGTGTGTGTGTGAGTGTGTGTTGCTGTTTTTAGCTGCAAAGCCTTCGAAGCGCACACAGAGGCAAGTGGGGTTTGATGGGCAGGCTGCCGAGAGACGGTGAGCACGGCACAGGCGCCCAGCCAGCAGAAAGGCGGGAGCAACGCAGCAAAGTAAAAACGAAAAAAACAAGCAAGTAGAAACCCAAAACGCAAGAAAAGATACTTCAGCAGGTTATTTATTCATCGGCTGCGTGGATATGTTTATTGTCCACATCAAAAGAAAAGAAACAGCCGACTGGTTGCATGAGCCCACGCAGACACAACCACACGCACACTCACCTCACGGTGGCAGCGGCCTCGTGCCTCATTTGGGCACTCCGTGCGACGCACAGCAATGCGGCCGGCACCGCATGTGTGTGTGTGGCGGCAGCAAACAGGAGGGAGAAAAGGGTGCGCTGCCCATGGGAACGTGCATGGAGTGGCGAAGCAAGAAGGAAAAAAAAACACATCCCTCAGAGCCTGGAAGAGAGAGAGACGTTGACCCATAGGGACAACAAGCAAACTGAGCACACAAAGCGCACGCGTCGTCCCTGTCAGGGTGTGTGCGGTTGCCCCTCACCACTGCCCAGCAGCGCAGGCAAGGACAGCCGTGAGCAGCAGCAGCAGCTGTGCACGCAAAAACAGAGTGGAGGTGGCACCGCGATCCTCGTGGCTCCCGGCACTCGGGCTGCGCGTGGTGACCATCGTCGTGGTGGTGGTTCCATCTGCCGCCCTGTCTGCCGCGGCAGTTGGCGAAGCCGCAGTGCCAGCCGATGGCGTTGTAGTTTCCCGAGGACCTTCTGTCGATGGTTCCTGACTTCCGGTGGGACCCGGTGTGCCCGACTGCCCCGCAGTAGCAGTGGAGGCCCCATTCCCCGCACTGCCGCCTGCCGCACTGTCTTCTTGCTGAGAATTCGCCGGAGATGAATGTCGTTGTGGTGATGTTTGTGTTCCTGCTGCGCCAGACTGCACCTGCGTCGCGGTTTGACTGGGGGTCAGAAACTCACAGGTGCCCGAAGCGCCGAGTGGATTCTCTGTTGCAGTGATGGTGACGGTTTCGCCCTTCGACAGCTTGTGCAGCGCGCTGCTTGTACCCACCGTACAGTCCATCGTGAACGCAACAGCGTCTGTGCCCTCTGCTGGCTGGGATGCGGGGCACTTCACCGTCGGGAAATTCCCCCGATACACCAAACCGGCAAAGAAACAAAGGGCATTACCGTAAGCGGCGCTTTCACTGCTCTCCGCACCCTTCACTGCCTGCGGACACTCCTCCCAGGTAGACGGTTGCTCGCCGGCAACGCGCCAACGCAACTTTCCAGCGGTAGGGCACGAAACCTCCACCGACACGTTCACCTCCTCCTCCGCAGTCGCCTCGCAGCAGCAGCCGCAGAGCAGCGCGAGGAGCGCCAGGCGCACACCGCACGGCGCCGCACCGCCAGCGTCGTCATCGGCAAAAGTAGTAGTAGTGGCCGTAGAGTGGCAGAGTCGCTGAAGTCAGCGGGGAAAAAGACGCAGGAAACAAGAGAAGTAGAGGGATGGAGAGGGAGTGCAGCGGAGACAGTGAAGAGAGCAGGTGGCAAAAAAAGAAAAAGGCGGCAGCCGAGCAACTTCACGCAGCCACACACGCAAGAAAGACGCACAGCGCCGGCAGTCATCCACGACGGAGCAGCGAAGAGCAGCCGCCCCACACGCACATGCGCACGGGAATGGGCCCGCAGCCACCACCCAAATGAGGCGGCTCCCGCAAGG